CCAGTGCTTGGTCCATAGAAAGAGTCTGATTAATGTTCATTGTTCTGTTGTTACTGCCTTTAGGAGGACCTTCCCCCCACTTTATACCCCTGCTGGCTGTGAATGGGCTTTGATTGGTCTCATTAGGAGCCTTGATGAAGTCAGATGTTCATTCACCTGATTACATGTTGGTAGATCCAGGAAGACATGCTAGAGACAAGGTCTTTTGTTAAGCAGAGTCACCTTAACACAATTGCTGACATTTGGGGATATTTAAAGGTAAATCTAAATCTCACTTTGAAGGGATAGGGAATTTAATGGAATCATGGAATAGTAATTTGATGGTTGAAGACTGGTAAGTAGAAACTGGAAGAGGAGATGTTGGAAGAAACAAGAGAGGCAAGGAGATGGCAGGAAGCTCAGATCAAAGGATATATGTGCTGCTGCTGCTAAGTCATATCAGTCGTGTCTGACTCTGTGCGACCCCATAGATGGCAGCCCACCAGGCTCCCATCCCTGGGATTCTCCAGGCAAGAATACTGGAGTGGGTTGCTATTTCCTTCTCCAGTGTATGAAATTGAAAAGTGAAAATGAAGTCGCTCAGTCGTGTCTGACTCAGCAACCCCATGGTCTGTAGCCTACCAGGCTCCTCTGTCCATGGGATTTCCCAGGCAAGAGTACTAGAGTGGGTTGCCATTGCCTTCTCCCAAAGGATTTATGTGAGTAACATCTTATTTTGGGGTACAGCTACTTAATTCATAGTAAAATGATGACCAATATTGCAGTTATTTAAAAAAATTTTAAGTTGATATATTGTACTTTCATTTTTATTCAGTTCAAGAAATTTTCTTTCTTTCTTTTTTTTTTTTGCACATGGGATTTCAGCTCCCCAACCAGGGATGGAACCCGTGCGCCCTGCAGTGGGGAGTTCAAAGTCTCAGCCACTGGACCACCAGGGAGGTCTTCAATATTGCATTTAAAGTCTTTGCCAGTCCTATGTTTTTCTTTGACAACAATCCTTTTCTGTTATTAAAAGACTTAACTTAAAAGCTCCGTCATTTATTCCTGGTGATCATTCCCCAGGGCTGTGAAATGCAGCCTCCTGAGTTAGTTAACTTGTCTGTGTTTGGCCCTGGAGCGATCACCCTGTGGTATGACAAACACTTTCTGCTAGAAGCATTAAGGAACAGGCTTGAAGACACGTCTCCATTTGGGACTGGGTGCTCTGGGCTTATGGGACATATGACCTTTGGTGATGATCTTGAATGAACCACAGTTTTCTGAGATCCAGTATGGGAGAATTATGTTTGTTTTTCAGTAAAAGGATTCTTTTTAAAATAAAATCAAGGAATGAAGCACTGATCAAATAATATTGTGAAAGCCCATAATCCTTCCGTCATTCTCAATTTCATTTCCTAGTGGAAACTGATGGGTATCCTTTCAAATATTTTCTATGCCTCTATAAACATATTTTATTACACACGACGGATGTATACTTTCTTATTGTTGTTTAGTTGATAAGTCGTGTCTGACTCTTTGTGACCCTGTGGACTGTAACCTGCCAGGTTCCCCTGTCCATGGGATTTCCCAGGCAAGAAAACTGGAGTGGGTTGCCATTTCCTTCTCCAGAGGATCTTCCCGGGCCAGGGATCGAACCCGCGTCTCCTGCATTGGCAGACAGATTCTTCACCGCTCGCCACCAGGGGAACCCCATACTTTTATACACGAATGAAATTACTTGCAAACTCTTTCCCGATGGCTTTTTGTTTTTTTGCTTTATCTCATTGACACAAATGCTGCCAATTATCAGTGTGCAGTCTTGAAATTTATTTTCCTTCGTTTTAGTAGTCAGCACCAGTCCACACTGGTCAACAGGCATTTGGGGGCTTGTTTTCTTGATTGAATCTAAGAGTGAAAACCAAACTAACACTGGGAGACAACCAAACTGAATACAATGGAAATAAAAGCATGAACTGTATGTTTTCAGGTCCTCGGGAGTAGGCAAGCCTGGGGTGGGCCAGGGCTTGAAGGATGAGTTATTATTCCTTAAATAGCAAAGAACTGGGAGAAAAAGGAATCAGTGGGAGCGGAGGCTTGGAAGCACACTGATGTGGTTCAGAATTTGGAAGTGAAAATTATGGAAGTTCCGCGGCCTGCATCATTCTGACTGGAACTCACAGGGTCCACTTTTGGGTAGTCATTAACGTTTACTAGGTGACCTCATGACACCTTCATGTAATGGAAGGTTTGTTTAAGGTTTTGCCTAACAGAGCTAAGTAGGTTTTCTCTGTTCCTAAACTCTGTCTTCACTATATATTATGGTGAATGGAGCACAGGCAGAAACTGGACTCAGGGAAGACTTCATTGGAGGTATCTTTAATCTCTGCCAATAACTCTGGAACAAACCTTTTCTTAAGAAAAGCCCCAAAGGGAGAGGTATAGGAAATCGTAAATTGAAGTAAGTTACAACACCCTTCTTTAGTTTCAAAACAAGTATTGGGCTTTCACTCACCTAACCACGTTTCTCTGGAATTTTTTTTTGCCTTAGGCTGAAAGCCACGGGGAAATTCTTTACAGTCTCCTTAAGAACAGAGTCTTCTCTTTAAAACATGCCCTCACCTGTCTCACTACTAAGTAAATGACTTCCTGCTCTTTTGTATCCGTGGTTAATTTTTACTTCTTTTACTGTTGTTTTGTTTGGGGTTTTACTTTTTCTACAGTGTGATATTTAAGGGGATCCTATTATCAAGTAAATTTGAATTTCATGAAATTACTGATAGTTGACCATTTTTTTAACCTACAAAAAATGGCAGTTTCATGTTGTCCAATTTAAACCTGGGACTATGTTATTTCTTGTTATATAATTGGGCTTCATCGGTATTTTGTTTCTTACTAATTTTCTCACTTTTAACTTCATGGTCAGTCAATGAAATCTTTATAAGCTTCAAAACACCTCCCAGTTCAGTGTCTTGTCCCCATTTGACTGTTATCATCCAAGTTCAGGCCTCCTTATCTTTTACCTTGACTATGTGAAGTGCATTTCTTCTTGGCTCCCAGTCTCCTGACACATTTGCCAGCTTTTCTCAGTGTTATCTTCTCAGGCACAGTCCGCCGACCTGTCAGTTTAAGACCAGGCATGGGCGGCTCCCACAAGATAACTCAGCCTCCTCTTCCTCCTTCCACTTCTGTTCCTCTGCCCACAGCTTACATCGTGATTTCCCTCTACATTCATTTTGCTTACGTCCCTTCTGCCACCAGCTTGCTTTGCCTGGTATCGTAGCTGCCTCTGTAGCAATCCTTTCCTCCCCAGACCACAAGCTCTTTGAAGACAGAGAGAGTCCTTCTGAGATACTGCTGCAGCATCCAGTGTGATGGTCACCACGTGTGGCTATTCAGGCTTTGGACGGACAAGCTGGGGATGGCTGTTCTTAGAGACTGTGCCTTGGCTTATGGGATCTTAGTTCCCCAACCAGGGGTCAAACCCAGGGTCCTAGCATTGATAGTGCCGAGTCCTAACCACTGGACTGCCAGGGAATTCCCCCTATGACCTTCCTAATAGTATTCCTTCTGTTAGGAATGATCCTTCCACCCCAGACCACATATAACAAAGCCCTACTGATCTCTCACACCTCACCCACTTAAATCCCTTTAAACCTCTGCAGAATTATCACTTCTTTATTAACCCTTCCTTGACTCCTCAAGGAGAGTGACCATTCCCTCTTTTGGACCCATAAGATTACCTTATATGATTATATCCTAAGTCCCTTAGAAAAATGTATTTGCTTACATGTCCAGATTTGTTCCCCCAAGCTCCAAGCCCTTATAGACAAGATCCCTGGCTTCCCCAGGGGTCACGTGGTTGACCCAGCCATGGTTAGCACAGTGGCTTATGGAGAACAGATTCTCTTACATACTCACAGAATTCAGCTGAATCTCAATTATTTAGATCCGACCATGAAAACTGTTTTGGAAGCACTAAAACTTCGCATCTTCTAATAACCTGGAGAGTTCACTTGGATCTTAATTGGAAACAGAGAATCCCAGGAAAGGGAAACTGACTACAACCTCTCCACTTGGTCCAGCAGGCTCCCAGATCCCCAGTCAAGTCCGCTGACAATCTCTCTGAAACGGGAGATGCCTCCCTCCCCTCCCCCGGCCTCAGGCGCCTCAAAACACAGGGCTCCCCTGACTCCATCCTCCGTCCTCTGCGGATATTTTGCACCGTCTTCTGCCTCACAGGACTGCCCCTCATGACCATGCAAAGCTAAGAGCTGTAAAACAACCCACCCCCACCCCCCGAGAGTTCCAACTGGAAACTTTTCGGCCACCAGCCGCTTCCAGTTTATCTTCGAGTCTCTATTTCCTTTGGCTGTGGTCTTGCTGTGGAACCAGGAAGCAGAACTTGGCCAACTGTTACTGACCTGGAGAGTTTGGTGGGGCTTGGGTTCCATAGCCAGCCCCATGGGAACCCCTGGAACTGTTGTCAAGAGAAACCATGAGTTTGACTTGTGGTTGCCAGGGGGAGAGATAGGGGAAGGGGTAGTTAGAGAGTTTGGGGTGGGCAGGTACACACTGGGCTTCCCTTGTGGCTCAGCTGGTGAGGAATCTGCCTGCAATGCGGGAGACCTGGGTTCAATCCCTGGGTTGGGAAGATCGCCTGGAGAAGGCAAAGGCTACCCACTCCAGTATTCTGGCCTGGAGACTTCCACAGACTGGATAGTCCATGGGGTGGCAAAGAGCCGGACATGACTGAGCGACTTTCACTTCACTTCATGTACACACTGCTATACTCAAAATGGATAACCAACAAAGTCCTCCTGGATCACACAGGGATCTCTGCTCAATGTTGTGTGGCAGCCTGGATGGGAGGGGAGTTTGGAGGGAGAATGGATTACATATATGTGTATGGTTGAGTCCCTTCACTTCTCACGTGAAACTATCACAACATTGTTAACTGGATGTACTCCAATATAAAAATTTTTTTTTCTTTAAAAAAAAGAGAAAGCCATGAGTTTGAGCCTAGGAGCCGTGAAAAAGTTAACGGGGTCCAATTGTCTTTTGGAGATGCTTCTTACATGTGGAGAGGAGTCCTGAACAAGGCAATGGCTATTTACTGAGCAAATATGAAAACTGGCAGCCATGGATCAGAGCATGCTGTGCAGAGGAAAAGGTCTCGTGTTGCTGTGAGGTGTCACGTTGGCAGAGAGGGCCATTGCGAGCTGCCCGACGATTTGCTAAAGAGGGAAAGAGGAAAATAAAGAAAACAATTCATTTAGGAATGCACACTAACTGTTAAGTTTCCTGTGGGAAAAATAAGCAAATATTTCAAACATCAGAAAGAAAATGCCATGGGGAATTTCCACCCTTCTTAAATACAGTATGTCTTGGCACGAGCACAAGAAGAGGACTGGAGTTGTTACTGCTCCCAGGCAGGGCGGACGTAGCCCAAACGGTCATCTCAGGCACCCGGTCACATCCCGACTGTCGAACGGGTGGATCCAAGGGGTGATTTTGTCAATCTACATCTTTAAAAATCTTAAGAACAATTTTAGGTAACTTGTATTCCAATTTGGAGTGAGGAGGAAGAGCAATAAGCCCCAGAGAGAAGCTAGGGATAAAAAGATCTTCCTGCCTAGAGTGTGGGAAAGGGCAGAAGTCCTCAGGAGAAGAGTGGGACCCATGATGTTGCTTGGGAGCGCTCTGGAGGCTGTGTGGAGGTCACAGGAAATCCTGACCTTACTGGTGTTCACTTCTGGAGCGCGTCCCAGGCCTGGGAAACCCGTGGTCCTGCTCCCAGACTATGGGGAACTGCCGGCTCCTTGGCTGCCAGGGGAGGTAGAGAAGGGGCCCATCCAATTCCAGAGAGGGGGCTCAGGAACCAAACCTTCAACCAGCGACCTGAAGACTGTGGGAACCAGTTCTTCTCCGTCCTGCTGCAAAGTGCCCCCAGGAACATCATGGAGCTTTCTACGGCCCTCGCCAATCCCACCTCCACCCTCATTCAGCACATCACCTGGGGCTCTGGGATGGGAGAGTAGGTCAATTAGCGTCTTCCCACCCTCTGATAGAAGGCAGATCAGATTCTGTTTCAGCTGATGATGAGAGATGGTGGTTAGGTGTTTCCCATAAGTCCCTGTCTTTGCACCATGCTCCTAGGAGTGGTTTGGTGAGCGAATCGATCTAATTGGCTGAATCAACTAAATTTTTGAGAAGATCATTTCTCATGATTTTCAGTGCGTTCAGAGTATGCTTCAAACTCATGCCCTGTCCCCAGGCCCTGCTTTCTTGTGGAGCTTGGCGCTACAGGGTCGACCTTGGCAAGCACGCAGGAATATTTTCATATGTGGCCCCCTCAGCACCCAGATCAGAATACTGAAGCCCTAGGTCCTTCTGTCTGTTTGGAAGATGCCTAAGGAATGAAAGGAGTGTGAAAAGGTTCACAAGGGTTTCTGGACCCAATGAGAATATGTCTACATCAGTGTGCATACATGCATGCTCAGTTGCTTCACTGGTGTCTGACTCTTTGTAACCCTATGGACTGTAGCCTACCAGGCTCCTCTGTCCCTGGGATTTCCCAGGCAAGAATACTGGAGTGGGTTGCTGTGCCCTCCCCCAGGGAATCTTCCAGACCCAGGGATCGAACCCAAATCTCTTTTGTCTTCTGCATTGGCAGAAGCATTGGTTCTTTAGCACTAGCACCACCTGGGAAACACCTACATCAGTGTGGCCAGTCTCCAACAGCCAGTATCAGTCATCTTTTGCATTCTGCTTCCTGATTTTCTGGTTAAACCAAGGTATTGCTTTCACTTCGCCCAATCTGTTTTATCAATGGTGCACATCACGAAGTTCAAGGTCAGGATAAATTGCCACTGTAACAGCGCTCACAATTTCAAACCCAAGCAAAGCTGTGTTTTCAGTAAATGACTTTTCCCCCTTTCCCCCTGAAATGAGGATTCGCTGCTGCTGCTGCTAAGTCACTTCAGTCGTGTCCGACTCTGTGTGACCCCATAGATGACAGCCCACCAGGGTCCCCCATCCCTGGAATTCTCCAGGCAAGAACACTGGAGTGGGTTGCCATTTCATTCTCTAGTGCATGAAAGTGAAAAGTGAAAGTGCAGTTACTCAGTCGTGTCCGACTCTTAGTGACACCATGGACCGCAACCTACCAGGCTCCTCTGTCCATGGGACTTTCCAGGCAAGAGCACTGGAGTGGGGTGCCATTGCCTTCTCCGGAGGATCCACTAGCCAGCTACTTTCCTAGTGCAATGGTGTTTCTTCTTATAGTGGTGATGTTAAGAAAGGAAAGAGCTGGGAGTTCCCTTGTGGTCCAGTGGTTAAGAATCTGCCTTGAAACGCAGGGGACATGGGTTTGATCCCTAGCTGGGGAACTAAGATCCTGCATTCCATGGAGCAACTGAACCCACAGCTGCAACTAGAGAGGCATGCGCTGCAAAAAAAGATCCCGCATGACACAGCGTAGATACCTTGTGCCTGCTGCAACCAAAACCCGAGGCAGTCAGATAAAAAGAGAAAAGAAAGGAAAGAACTCACTTACCCACTGCTACAGACATCGGGTGGACGAATTTCAGATTATCAATACAGATTTCAGACACACCCGAAGTAGTCTACGTGAAGTTTCCCCCACCCACAGCCCAGCACTCTCTACCATCTCTCCTTGCTTTACTCTGCTCCCTAAAACTTATCACCGTCTGACATCCTATATGTTTTATTGTTGCAAACAAACGTTTTTGCCTCTCTCCATCTCTTTCACACATGAGTGAATGAATGACTCAGAAGACAGTGTTTCCTTGGAAATGAAGCTTTTTGACCTTCTTTGCCAACCTGTTTACTTGGAAGCTGGGTTAATTGACTTGCAGTGATGTCTCATCTTTTTAACAGCAAGATCCGAGAAAGACCCGGCAAATAGCCCAGGGGCACAGTCCAGCCTGAAGGTTCGAAACATTGAGAGACCCTTGGTCAGCTCTGGGGTCAGCCTTCATATTATCGAGTCAACATTCCAGATGCAGAACTCACCCAGAGAACAGAGACTGGATGAGAAATGAATTCACTCTACACAATTGCCAGCTGCCCGTTTTCAACTCTTCAGCAGTTCCAATCAGACTTTTTACATGAAGTGAGGAAGGTAAAGACTTGGCTCTGTGTGATGCGACCTTCAGCCACATGGCTTAAGCTTTATGGGTCTCTGTTTCCTCATCTCTAACGTAGGGGCTGCTGGGAGAACTGCGTTGGCTAATATTTGTAAAATGTTTCGAACAGTGCCTGGTACATGTGACGTATGATGTTTGTGTGTGTGTGTGTGTGTGTGTGCACTCAGTCACGTCTGACTCTTTGCGACTCCATGGACTATAACCCACCAGGTTCCTCCATGAGATTTCCTGGGCAGGAACTCTGGAGGGGGTTGTCATTTCCTTCTCCAGAGGATCTTCCCGACCCACGGATGGAACACACATCTCCTGCGTTGCAGGCGGATTCCTTACTGCTGAACCAGGGCAGAAGCCCTCATGAAGTGTGACAGGCATTAGCTCTTGTGGTTATTGGACTTCCCCGGTGGTTCAGATGGTAAAGTGTCTGCGTTGGAGGAAACACTCTCCTCACTGTCTTTCTTATTGGAGTCTGCTTGGTTATGCTTGTGAGACCCCTTTGCCCCAGATGCACTTTAAAAAAGAAAAAAAGGACCATTACAAGGCACAATGACCTTGTATGCTTTGCGGAGACTTTTTTATATCGGGCCATTATTTCTTTAGTTTAATTCAACTCCCAGTCAGTAGAATATGCCCTCTTCACTGTATGTCTCGCATCACAATAGCTATGAGAGACCAGCAGCCCTGAACAAGAAAAAGCCCAGTCCTCACCTTCATGAAAGTGCTCCAGAAATCTGTAGCTCAGGCTGGGAGTCAGATGTCCTCAGAACTACATTTAATTTAAAATCAAACCACTTGAGAAAATTCAGCTGTAAGCTTGGCCTTCTCTCAGCTCCCCGAGCACAGGGCAGCAAGCTGCAATCAAGCTGAGAGTTACTCAGACTTTTCCATCAAGACCTTTAAGTTCTTGCTGTAGATTCCCTTGACACGAGTAAATAGAATATCCCAGGTCCTCAGCGTCTCCACACCGGAAGAGCCTTCTGGCCGCATGAATGGATTTTCAATGTAAAGTGTTTGAAATCAGGAGAAAAGGGCTTCTGACTACTTTTTCTGCACTGAACATATACTGTTTTTGTGACGAGAACTGAAGATGTTTTAATTTTCAAAGAGTGTACAGTTGCCATAGAGAGTACCCTTGTGAAGCACATCATAAATTAGATACAAGTTAACACTCATATACCTTTGAATGATCTAAAACAAGTAAGGACCTTCTCAAGTGTTAATACTTCTCTTGCAACTTTTAAGTTGAGAATTGGGAACGCCAGGATGGAGGGGTAGACTGTAGAAGGCCATGTAGGCAGGTGCACGGAAGAAGTAAGATTGCCTCCAAGAAAGTTAAAGGATGTCAGTGAAAACACTTCAGCTTATAAATCAAGTCAAAAGACCTGCAGAAAATATGGCTAAAATTGCATGACAATATTTCTCACTTGCTTGGTTTGGGAACACCTTGTAGAAAGTTGAAGTCAACACTTGTAATCTGACTAAACTTGATCCATTTCCCTTCTGGCCTCGTTTACTAGCAGAAGTGAAATTTCCTGCTATTCACCAAAGGGACTGATGGTGAGTCATGCTTGGCTTACTTGGAACTCTGAGACTACTCTTTTCCCTCCTGTCCAAGGTCTAGAGACCAGAGATGGTATTCTACTCAATCTTTATATCAAAAGAGCCTAACAAGTATGTGTGTGTTCAGTTGCTTAGTCAAGTCCTACTCTTTGCTACCTTATGGACTGTAGTTTGTCAGGATTCTCTGTCCATGGGATTTCCCAGGCAAGAATACTGGAGTGGGTTGCCATTTCCTACTCCAGGGGATCTTCCCGACCCAGGGATTGAAGTTATGTCTCTTGTGTCTCCCTCATTGACAAGCAGATTCTTTACCACTCTGCCACCTGGGAAGTGCCGTATCTTTACAGATGTGCTCGGTTGCTCAGGCGTGTTTGACTCTTTGTGACCCTATGGATGTAGCCCAGCAGGCTCCTCTGTCCAGAGGGTTTTCAAGTAAGAATACGGAGTGTGTTGCGATTTTCTCCTCCAGGGGATCTTCCATAGTCAATGCCAAATAAGCATTTGAAAGATAAATAGGTGGATAGATGGATAAATGGATGAATGGATGTAGAGGATGAGATGGTTTAGATAGCATCACCAACTCAATGGACACGAATTTGAGCAAACTCCAGAAGATAGCGGAGATAGAGGAGCCTGGAGTGCTACAGTCCATGAGGTCAAAAAGAGTCAGACATGACTTAGCAACTGAACAATAACAACAACAGAAAGAGCTAAGGTTACTTGAAGAATGCTTCCACTATTATTTGAAATAGAGACTATAGGAAAAGGAAGAAGTTTGCTATACCATTTTTGGCTCTTTGAAACATCTATGCACCTTGGGCTGTTGTAAAAGGTCTAGGCTTTGATATCCTCATGGATAAAATGGAGGGTTCAGAGGAGTTGTTCTCTAGGATACCTTCAAGTCCTATGATACTAAGCATAATGATTAAGGATAAAGAAAAGTAGAATTTACCATGGTTTTACAATGGCTTAAAAGTGTGAGAGGCACTTCCCTAGTGGTTGGGTGGCTAAGACTCTGCGCTCCCAATGCAGGGGGCCTGGGTTTGATCCTTGGTCAGAGAACTAGATCCTACATGCCATAACTAAAGATCCTGCATGGCCACAACTAAGACACAGCACAGCCAAATAAATAAATAATTTTAAAAAAAATGTGCGCATGCTCTATTATCAGCAAGAAGGCAACTGGTGTTGGGCTTTTAAAAAATGTTTGGTTTCTGATACATTCTGTGCTCTTCAAAGTGATATATACCACTTCTGTTTGAAGTAAATTCACATTGATTTATCTTTCACAGATAATTCTGGTGATACTTGCTTAGCATGTTGCAAAAATTAGGCTGGAAGTAAATCTTTTAATGGTTGGAGCTGAATTCTAAGAGAGATTGGCTTCTGAGAAATCATTCAGCTAGGGCAGGAGAAAACAGGGAGTCAATTAGTAACATCTACAGCTTTTTACTGAATTGAACTGGGGTCTACTTACCCGTGCTCAGCAAAGCCAGTCTACTGACAACTGGTTATGATGAAGAAAGCCTACAATTTGTTGCAGGGTGCCAAGCAAGAAAAAGTGTGGGCTTTCCTAGTAGCTCAGCTGGTAAAGAATCCGCCTGCAATGCAGAAGGCCCTGGTTCAATTCCTGGGTCAGGAAGATCTGCTGGAGAAGGGACAGGCTCCCCACTCCACTATTCTTGGGTTTCCCTGGCGGCTCAGATGGTAAAGAATCTGCCTGCAATGCGGGAGACCTGGGTTCAATTCCTGGGTTGGGAAGATCCCCTGGAGAAGGGAAAGGCTACCCACTCCTGGAGAATCCCATGGCCTGTGTAGTCTGTGGGGTCACAAAGAGTCGGACTTCCATACACAATCGAGAAGAAGGGCAGCTCGTGCTCAACAGACCCGGACTTCCTGCTGGCTTTCAGGGAAGAGGTTTCAGAGGCAAGATCAGAGGTGTGTGTTGCAGGGCATGTGATCAGCTCGTGCACAGTCCTCTGACTGATTGATGGCGAGGTGACAGGCTAATGCTCTGGAATGTTCTGGAATCTCAGTCACCCACATTCTGGTTCCAACCTCTCTGGGGTCTACATGCTGAGAATCTCCCACCGGGTGTGGGCTTTAGTATTTACAAAATAACTCAAGGAGATGGCTTAGGATATCACCTAGAGTCCTAGAGGAGTTCAATGTCTTTGACCTTGTTTGACCGCCAAACTTTTATTTTGTCTTGCTTGACTGCTTTTCTTTGTTTCTACATTTTCTGAGTTCCCTGAGCATCTGCTCTTTGGAACTCGGGGAAGGCCCAGGAGGCTGCAGCTTATCTCCACAGCCTCTTTTCCCTTCAACGATACGCAGGGGACACTGAGGCCTCTGTCACTGGGAGAGAACCCTGCTTGGCTTCACTCTCATGAGTAAACAAGCTCTCTCAAATCCCATTCAACCCTTGGATTTTTTACTGAATTGAACTGGGGTCTACTTACCCGTGCTCAGCAAAGCCAGTCTACTGACAACTGGTTATGATGAAGAAAGCCTACAATTTGTTGCAGGGTGCCAAGCAAGAAAAAGTGTGGGCTTTCCTAGTAGCTCAGCTGGTAAAGAATCCGCCTGCAATGCAGAAGGCCCTGGTTCAATTCCTGGGTCAGGAAGATCTGCTGGAGAAGGGACAGGCTCCCCACTCCACTATTCTTGGGTTTCCCTGGCGGCTCAGATGGTAAAGAATCTGCCTGCAATGCGGGAGACCTGGGTTCAATTCCTGGGTTGGGAAGATCCCCTGGAGAAGGGAAAGGCTACCCACTCCTGGAGAATCCCATGGCCTGTGTAGTCTGTGGGGTCACAAAGAGTCGGACTTCCATACACAATCGAGAAGAAGGGCAGCTCGTGCTCAACAGACCCGGACTTCCTGCTGGCTTTCAGGGAAGAGGTTTCAGAGGCAAGATCAGAGGTGTGTGTTGCAGGGCATGTGATCAGCTCGTGCACAGTCCTCTGACTGATTGATGGCGAGGTGACAGGCTAATGCTCTGGAATGTTCTGGAATCTCAGTCACCCACATTCTGGTTCCAACCTCTCTGGGGTCTACATGCTGAGAATCTCCCACCGGGTGTGGGCTTTAGTATTTACAAAATAACTCAAGGAGATGGCTTAGGATATCACCTAGAGTCCTAGAGGAGTTCAATGTCTTTGACCTTGTTTGACCGCCAAACTTTTATTTTGTCTTGCTTGACTGCTTTTCTTTGTTTCTACATTTTCTGAGTTCCCTGAGCATCTGCTCTTTGGAACTCGGGGAAGGCCCAGGAGGCTGCAGCTTATCTCCACAGCCTCTTTTCCCTTCAACGATACGCAGGGGACACTGAGGCCTCTGTCACTGGGAGAGAACCCTGCTTGGCTTCACTCTCATGAGTAAACAAGCTCTCTCAAATCCCATTCAACCCTTGGATTTTTTGGCTTTCTGGTTTCCACCTTCTACCACCGAGCAGCATTTTCACTGTCCAGGCCGATTATTTTGCAAACTCTACAGCTCTTTGTGTCAAAACCAAATGCTCTCTCGTCTCTTCTCCCAATACGATTAACTCACACAACCTTGGACCAAAATACACATCCACACGCCAGCAGCCAATGTTTTAGCTCCTATTCTGTCAGCATTGTCTCTCAGCCTGGGGCCAAAAAAGTCAGAAAGACCAGTGCCAAATAGTATTGTGCTTTTCATATTGATTCTCCTGCTTAAAATTAATTTGTTTATAGACTTTGGAACATTTTATTTGTACTAAGTATTTTTTTTTTCCTCTTGAGCTATCTCTCTAGCTGCTTTTTATTTTTCCAAATGCTTTAAAGACAATGGGGTTGGATTTAAAATATGTTCTACTATGTTCTATTTATTTGTCTGGGTCATGGAAATTTCTGACTTTCAAAAGGTCAATATGTGCATTTAACCATACAAACAGCCAAAACAAAAATGCCACAGTATTTAAAGTTTTATCTGCTTTTCAAGCCAGCTCTCCAAACATAGTCCTTTTTAATATCTAAGTCCTCTATGTACAGCTACATAAAATCTTCTCCAGTTTGTCTAATGCAGGAGATTCCCAGTATATCGTGATTTATCTTTTTTCCATAGCTATAACACTTGTCACAAACTCCAGTTCAAAAAGTAGCTGAAAAGCAGACAGAAAGCCATAGAGTGAAAATAATCAGGCTTTTATTTGCTGTGTATATAAATGATGTTTAAATGGACAGCCTGTAAGATCTTGCGCTAATGTTTGCATCTACAGAGACTCAGATACAATCTGTGATTCAGTCTATGATTGTGCTCAGAGCAGTTTCAGGTGAAGTACTTTTTATGAAAAGATTGTAGCTATCTGGGAATGTGTAAGCTGTCTTACAGTAATTACTGTAGTATCAGTGAATCAGAATATTCGGCTTACCAGAAAATTCATTTTCTAACTCTGCTTTATATGAAGGAGAAAAGGGGAGGAGCCTGGTGGGGCCGGGTAGGACCCGCTCCCTCCCCTAGAAGCCAAACTAGCGAATCTGACTTCAAACACGCCCTGCGCTCTGTTATTCCAGGTTAGCCATCTGTTCTTCTTTACTCTGTCCTCAACTTAGCTTTCTTCTGTGCTACTGTCAGAGTACACTCTAATCTTCTAAACACGACACCTCTTAAAACTGCACTCTGTTTTCTGTTTTTCTATGTAAAATTTTGTCCCTTCCCTTTAGTTCTCTGGGCCAGAGCCTATATTTTTAATCCTAGCCACACGTGTGTCAGGAATCATCTCAAAAGAACTCGTAAAACTGTCCCCCATTGTTTAGTTGCAATCACTGAAGTTGGTAGAGGTGAAATAATTTGGGCAAAGTCAAGACGTACAGTTAGCAAGGGGGTGAATTAGAATTTTCACCAGGATTTGACATGTCCCCAGGGCTGTGTTCATTTCCTCAGTAGTACAGAATAGAGGCACTCTGTAATTTTCAGTATATAGAGAATCTCCATCAACCAGAATCCAAAGAACTGTGATCCTCATTTTTAAGTTGAAATTATTTTTTAAGAGAAAGAGGAAAATTATAAGAATGGTAACTCTATTAATAGTAATTAAAATATAAGCATGTATATATACAATTCCAGGGAGTATTCTGTCCTTCCCTTAAAACATATGTGGTCTAAAATTCTATTGTTTAATATTATAAGTATTATAGAATGATTAGTATTTTCAAAAAAAACTCTAAGACTTTTAAATAAATCAATGCCAAAATATAAATGGCGAATGAATACTAATACAGGGAAGTAGACTTACATATTTTATTTCATTTAAAGAAAGTTTAAATCTTATACTTTATTGATTTACAGCAGCCTAACTGTTCTCATAGATATGCTTTTTTGGGGATTGACGTATTCACACTGCTAGAACTCTGCTCGATATTCCTTAATAACCTACATGGGAAAAGAACTTGAAAAAGAACAGATACGTGTATATGTATGACTGAATCACTTGCTGTATGCCTGAAACTAACACAATACTGTTTTATCAACTATACTCCAATATAAAATTGTTTTAAAGTGACCTTCATTTCTAATTGCTTATTGTAGGGAAAAAAAAAAGAAAAGCATAAAGATATTCAAAATATTCTTTATTCTGCTGTGAACATTTTACCATGTCACTTATACTTCTTTACTTGCATAAATTATACATAGGTTAAAATATTCTCATGTGCATATACCATATATTACTTTATATTTTCTCAGTTGAACTGTTATTCACGATGAGATAATGAATACATTTGGCTTAGATTCCTAGAAGTAGAATCATTGGGTCAAAGAGTAGAAACCTGTTTAAAGTTCTTGAGAAGTATTGTTAGATTACTTTCCAGTAATTTCATACCATTTTCCACTCCAGGAGGAACCTTATCAGACAGTTACCAGCAGTGAGTATTATTATAGCCATAAAGATTTATAATATGGCTTCATTCTAAATTATGTGCTTTGTCAGGTTTGAGAAATGACCCTCTTTTGGTTTGTGGAACACATTTCCCTAAAGGTTTCGTTGTCTATATAAATGAGTAAAAATGTAGCAGGTATTGTGCTAAGAGATAAAATGATCTCTTAATTATAATCATACTTCATATAATAATATATATTTATAAACAAATAATATACTACCTGCATGCCAAGTTGCTTCAGTTGTGTCCAACTCTTTTGTGACCCTGTGGACGGAAGCCCGCCAGAGCCCACAGTCCACGGAATTCTCCAGGCAAGAATACTGGAGTGGGTTGCCATTTCCTTCTCCAGGGGATCTTCCCGACTCTGGGATCGTACCCGCGTCTCTTACATCTCCTGCATTGGCAGCCAGGTTCTTTACCACTAGCGCCATGTGGGAAGCCCAAATAATACACTAATATGTTAAAAATATATATTTAGATAAAAATAAATTAGATATATAATGATTTTCTAGATGAAGAAATTTTCTGTCTTAGAAGTTTAGCCCCTTGGCTAAGATAACCCAGCTAGTAGTAATTGGTATAGCTTCAACCATGTCTGACTCTGAAGCATCTACAAAGTTTTATTTATTTATTTTTCATCAGGAACTTTAAGCTCAGGCACTCAAGATCCACCCCACTGACATTTTTCTACATTATTATAATGTTCTGATTTCTTCCTTCCCATTTATTTTTCAGATGAACTGTTTACAATGATTTTGTCAGTTCCCTCAAAATTGGCAGTTTAACTGATGTTGCATTAAATTCAAGAAAAATAGCATCTGGATAGTTTTAGATCTTCAGCTGCATCATGTCCTTAAGTGCCTGATTTAATTCTGTGGTTCCGTCTGCTGTAGCTTCTTCACCTCTCTTGTTAAGGCATTTTCACTTGTTTGTTTGTCCCATAATAAACAGGAGCATTTCTTTACTATATTTTAATTGACTGTAGTTAGCATTGATTTGCCCTGGAGGAGGGCATGGCAACCCACTCCAGCATCCTTGCCTGGAGAATCCCCACGGACAGAGGGGCCTGGTGGGC